CTATGTCGGAATCCGAAAAGCTACATTGATGGCCCTACTTTTTTCAAGTCTGGTAGCGGTAACCTTGAGGGCAAGGAGGGGAGGGGGGTCGGCAGATATGGGTGAATTAGCACGGGCCCTAGCGGTCAGTCCGATGTGGCAGGCACGTCCAGGTGTCCCCATATCCGCCTCAAATTTGGGCTGGATATGGGGAGTACCGGTCGGTCCAGGCGTTTGGGCCGATTGTGGGGGGCCTGTTTAGGTGTTGTTCTTTCGTTCGGTCAGTGACCGGGCAACCTGTCCGGGCATTTGGGGCGGTATGGAGGTCTTGTTATAGATGCTCTGGTACTGCGGACGTGCATGAATGGCTTCTCTCTTAATTACTCCATTTGTTTCAATATACTAGTAGTTCATTTGTTTCTCTAAGACAAGGTTTTGCCAAAAGAATATTTTGTATATACAGAGTTTTTGTGATATGAAATTTAAGTTATTGGATTCATTGTCAAAAGCGTTTTTTGTGATACTCCATCCTTACCAAAGTGCATATAATTTTTTCGAAAGTATCGCCTCTGTTCCAAACTACAAGTTGTTTTGAATATTTTAATATGAACTTAAATGCGAACAAACATACTAAAACATGTCTATATGCATTTGATTCGGAAAAGGTTAGAAAATCTTACATTTCGAAAAGGATGGAATAAAACTTTGTAAAACTTTTGCCACGTTTACTATGAAAAAATGAACATTTACAAACTTTGTAAAACTTTGTCCACTAATTTACTTCTTTACTAACTGTACATCGAGAACATTTACATTTCATTAAACGAGAGTGGCAATGCACGGTAATCGACTTTTTGCCAAATTCTTCTAATTACTGGCATCGTGTGGATACGTCCCCCTTCCCCTTGGCCTTGGTCTGGTACGCATATATTTAGCACGACTTGGAGACCTGAACTAGAATGGCATTGACTGAGACGAGCAAAGTTTCTACGAGGCCTTCGTCACCGCATGCGAAAGCAGGACTTTCTGATAGTGCTTATTATTCTTCTCTTACCTCTCCTTGGGCTGCACATCATTATTTGTAAGAACGCAGCACTTGTGCAATGTGCAATGGAAGCAATGAAAGGGGGATTGCAACTTTCCTCCGTCTGCAATAGGTCACGTTCCTCTCTGACTCGCTCAACTTAACCAAGGCAGTAGCACTGTAGCAGGGAAAGATATCAGCTCGTCTAAGGTTAGGTGGGAAATCAGAGGCGCGCCTGCAGAAATCTTCAAGGCAATTGAACCGTTGCACTGCAGCACTCGGTATTCCATCTTGCGAGGAATTTGACTCAACAAGCTCACAGCTTTGCTCATCCGGCTCTTACCCGTGCATATGAGCCTGTTTTTCGATGTACAAATTCAGCTCTCATACAGAATTACAGATCGATAGGCTTTGCCCACTTCGATTAATTAAGAGAAGAAGAGATTTGTGTATTCCTCCTGGCAAAATTGAACTTCCTGACAGGGCGCAACACTAATCAACAGATCTACGGTCAAACGGGATATTCCCAACCTATAATACTGAGATTTATTCAAGAACTCCATAATACAGTTTCAAGTTTAGCAGATCAAGTGCATCCCGGGTTGAATTTGGATCAAAGAGTGCACATTAGTCCTAAATGTGACAGTTCACTCAAGTCTTGGGCCTGAGCATTTAGTATTTAGCAGGACTCAGACCCGCGACTCGCCCAGTCTCAAAATATTATTGGCATGATTCAAACCAGGAAAGATGCCAGTGTGGTGTTTGTCCGATAGCTCGTATTCGCGACCGCATGCTAGAGCAGAGCTCCGTACCTGCTCCAACGGCTTCTCCTTCAGCTAATTATATGCTCTAGTTTAATTGGGCATCGTTGTCAATTAATAAGTTTACTCATTTACCAACTCCATATAGAGCTCCTTTATAATGTCCCTATGTGAGTTCGATCTTTCTTTTAACTTCACACTGTCCTCGCCCCTACGGAACCTTGTTGGCACTTTTTGATATTTGGTTAATAAGATGGCCGCATGCATCTTTCTGATGCAGAGGCCGGGGAGCCCCCCCTTTTCGGAAAAAAAAAACACTGTCCTCGCCCTTGATAAGGCACGCAACCTTCAAAACTTGAAACCGCATATATTCTCCCAAGTTACTACTACTCCTTCCCATAATGTAATACACTTTTTGACATTAGTGTAGTGTCAAAATACGTCTTACATTATGGGACGGAAGGAATACATTTCAGTAACATTCAGTGTGAGCTTAGGTCGACTCCGATGATTTGAAATACTAATGCACGATATCATCAGTATCTTGCGAAGTCCTTACACATAAGCACATATAATCTCACAACTTGCTTAATTTCAAATACATCTATAATAAGGAGAATTCATCTGATGTCAAGGTCGACAAGCATGAGGTCAACTTGTTGCCAAGTCCTTAAAGCCATTCATACGTATAGATAATCGCCTCCTGGGCTTCGACTAGAACACACACATATTTAGCACGACTGGGAGGCACATGACTTGGTTGGTCTTGAGAAATAGGATGGCATGATTCAGAGCAGCAAAGTTAATCTCCACGATGTTTTTGTCCCGTAGCTCGTGCTATTATATTCGACACCACGATGGGAGAGCAGAGTTTTAGATGTCGGTTAGTATTTCCTTTTTCACTTCCTTGGGGTGATTTGAGTTTTCTGATCATGCCCGTCGGCCGAGGGCGCAAAGATTCTCCTTTGTGTGGTCTTCCCGACCGAGGCAACCCTGCTTGCTTGCTACATATTCCCTCCGTCCCAAAATAAATATCTTGATCTTGAGCTTGAGCTTAGTATAAATTTGTACTAGAGCTAGTACAAAGTTGAGATACTTATTTTGAGACGGAGGGGGTATAACTGAAGAAAACCTTTATACACGAAGATATAAATAAGGAGTTGCCATGCAACCCATAGTACAGAACTCTCTCTGGTCCTTCAACTGGAGCGTACATTGACATTCAGGGATATCGGCCATACACAGAAATCGTCAGGTCGCAGAGTGAATTTGATTCCAAACCAAATGAATTGAATGCTTGCATGCAGTGTGCTTCTTTGGACAAGCTTATGTGCATGCAGACTACACAAACCCGGCAATGTCTCCAATACGTTCGGTTTATTTTATCGGTACAGGCTATACATTCAGAGCTTGCAATTGCTCTGGCCAGGAATTTCTCTCCCTCCCGGCAAGATTGAATTCCGTGACAGTCTGCAGCAGGTCAAAGGTCAAACAAAATATTCTAAATCTATAACATTAAGATTGCTACATGAGCTCCACAGGCTTGGTAGATGAAGAAGTGCAAATCCTTGCTGAATTTGGAACAAATAATACACATTAGCCCTAATAAAAAGGGTCAGTCCACTGAAGTCTGGAGCCAGCATAACCAAAAAGCCGTTCTAAAAATAGGTAACCAAAAAGCGCAACAGATAGGTCTCAATCTCAGCCATACCACAAAAACCATCTGCTTGCATAATGTTTTCAAAACAATGTTTGCAGCATGCTTGTTTCAACAACCTTTATCAGCGGACTTCAACCGCCAACTGTCGGTTATTTATCATCTGACCTTCGAAACATAAGAGGCTATACCTTTAAGAATACAACTAGCACACCCCATCGAACTTGCGCAATCCATGATCAATCAGCTATACAAACCCTGAGTGCCAGATCAAATAATGGCCCTGAATGAACTACTTTCTAGATATGCCAGTAATGCTTATCGGGTAACTATGTTTGGCATAGGCTACAAATACATAATATGCATTTCTGACACTCACAAAATTATGCTGCTGCAGATCTATTGTTATCAGGATCTTCTTCTATATTCAAAGCTTGGAGCAGCTTCGGCCATGATTCGGGGATTCCTCCTGGTAAATTGAACTCCAAGAGTTTCCCCCGTGCTCTGTAGAAATCCTCCACTGGTTCACACTGCAAAGATGACAGCTTGCTTAAAAAGGATAACACCCATAACAGGGTCATACACTGAGAACAGAGCTACTATGATCGAATATATAGAGGAAATATTCCTAGCCTATACCAGTGAGGGGGAATATTACCATAGGAGTTGCATCATATAATTTCAAGTTTGGAAGATGAAATGTGCTCATTGCTGAATTTGGAACAACAAATACACATAAATTCCAGAGTCAATTGGTTAAACAGTGGTAAATATTTATCATAAAAAACCTCAGCAAATAACAAAGTTCAATATGTCTCCACATGTCTCGGTATCTCACACATGCAAGTTTAAGGTCATCTTGAAATATAAACGACCTAGCATCCCTTTTCTATACTGCTAATTTCACTACTGATCTCGTACCTAAACAAACATAGCTTCATACGCCCTACTAGTGCAAGTTGATCGTCCTGATCCCATAAATTATAAACAACAAAACAAATAAAACTCAAAAAATGCAATCTAAGGTTCACTGCTACGTACCAAATCATGGTAAACACGCAATCGCTCCTTTACCACCTCTTCGGTATCATCTGCTCTGGTAATTAACTTTGATTCGCACTGTGGAGGAGGTAGTAGTGGAGGCATATACATTCGAGGCCCGCCATTCTCACCCTCAATGTCAATGGAGGCCACATTGAAGTTTCCTCCACACTGGCTGCACTTCCTTCTACCAATGCATTTTGCAAGCAGAGCCTCTTCTTGAAGTTTGAGATTGATCACCAAATCAATATCTGTGACTCCCTCCAGTATTTCCTAACAAACCACACAATACAATTTAGTTTGGGAACTGTCACAAAATACCAGCAGGTAAGTTTTTCTTTTTATCAACAAAAAGAAAACTGTGGATAAGTTTCAAAACTCAGTTGATCTCAACCATAGACATTGAACAACCATACATCAAGACTATTACTAGAATCAGGTTCTATACAATTTCCATGATTCCACCCCCTGATGATAAAAGCCAAACTGAGAAGATGCAAGCATATATTTCTTGCATACTTACAATCAGGTCAAGTAACTAGCTCACCGCTTGTCTTATAGTTCTTGGAAAACCATCAAGTATGAAGCCTAATTCACCCTTCTCTCCTCCCTCCTCAAGGCGCTTTGACAGCAGATTTATGATGATCTCATCAGACACCAGTTTCCCATGATTCACAATCTCCGAAAGCTGGAAACAAAGCAGACATAAGACAATCAATAAAGTGGAAGTGGTAAAACAGAGTTGAACTGGTTGGTGTTATGCTGATTTGGCTTCCCTTGCTAGAATCAAGTTCCATATTGTTAACTAGAATCAAAATCAACATTGTTATTCTGAAACTGTACGCAACCTACGGGTTAGTCTTATTTATCTGGGCCTTGTCATCAATCATTCATTCATGCCTCAGCTACTGGAAGTGTAGCCACACAGAACTAAATGGTCATAAAAGGGTTCAAACAATCTATCCTAAGCTGCAGCCATCGACCGAGCAAGTTGCACATCCTTGCACTCAGGTTTCATAACCAGCTCCAATGGATTATCTTACAGACTTGACAATCTTGTGAGGGTTTTTCAGACTGAGTTAACCGTAGTAATATCTGTTTTCAAAAACTTGTTCTATATAAGCTTCTTGTGGGTTTTCAGACTGAATTAACCGTAGTACTATCTGTTTCAAAAACTTGTTCTATAAGGTAACAATTCAGCTTGTTTGCAACGAACGGACAGCAAGGAAAACAGTTGGTCGGCATATATCATTAATCTGCTGCCAGTGTGCCTGACTGCTGAAGTGTTGAGCATGTGCTTAACAGCATGGTGCAGATGTGGTGCTTCCTAGTTGTGAACTGGATGTTCTCCCTCGGGGAAATTTGCACCCAAAAAAATGCTGCTGTCGTCTAACTGGATGTGATCCATCATGCGTCTATGGATTGCATCACCTAGAAATGATGGTGGCAAGCTGGGTTGCGGTGATGATATACAGGAATTGCGCTGCCATGTGGTCTGATTGGTCTACTCTCATACAAAAATTTAAGCTCTCTTTCTGCACTAAAAGAGCACCATGGTCGCTGCCGATTTGGTGGCTGATGCAGGGGAACACTTGCAGGTAAAATCATGATGCAGGGGAACACTTGCAGGTAAAATTATCCTTAGCAACCCTTTCGTCAGCACCAGGGGGGGATCTTACTCTCTAGCTATCAATTCTTGTACTACGAAAATCACGACGCGGGATTGAGCGCGGGGAACCGGAATACTACCTGCTTGGAGAGGGGGCCCTGGGAGGCGAGCTCGTCGCGCACGAGGTCGCCGGTGGCGATGTGGGGCACGCCGAGCAGCCGCGAGAGGCGGCCGGCGTAGGTGCCCTTGCCGACCCCGGGGCATCCCAGGAACACCCACTGCACCCGCGCCCCGTCCTCCACGGGCCCCGGGCCGCCGCGCCCGCGCCCGGCCCAGCGCCCCGCCGCGGGCGGCGCCCCCTTCGCCGCCCCCATCGCCTCCACGGACGCCAGGCCCCTCCTCGACACCCCAGCCGCGACGGCCCCCCGGATCGCGCGGGACATCGCCGACGACATCTCGCCGGCCCCTGGTGGAGACGAACGAGCCGGAGATATTTTCCGCCGGTCGCCCTTTTTCCTCGCCCTGCTGCTGCTTCGCGTTGGAGTCCGAGACGACGACGGGGTCGCCGGGTGGTGGCCAGCTCGGTCGGGGGCGCCTAACACGTGGCGGGCCCGGCCCGCGCCGATCCGAGCGGCGGTGGGCTCACGTGCGCGAAATAGGAAAGAAATTTCAGCGGAGGGCCAGCCGGGCCGGGAATACCTCGGAAGGTTCCGCCCGCACGCGCTCGCGCGACACGTAGGGCGGCTCGCGGCGCCGGACGCGTACGTCGCCGTCGGCGTCGATACGCCGGAGCGAGCGGCGACGTCACCGCGCACGCGAGCTTCACGACGCATGCTGCCGTGCACTTCTCCTCCACCCGTCCGTCCGTCGGAACTCAAGTTGCGGTCACGGTCGGCGCATGCGACACGGCCAACCAACCAACTCCAACGAGACCACGCATGCAATCGTGTTCGAAGAGGCCAACGAAGGAAAGAAATCAGGCAACCTCCCGTAGGGCTTTGTTTGGCCTTTAGGCTTGAAAGCTGTATGGATTTACTTCTTTTTGTTTGCATGTGGTTGTAAAAATAAATCATATGGCTAATTTGCATGTGCTTTATAAAAAAAATACTGTGCCTGTGATTACGAAACGGGCTTTCGGCCCGCTTTACAAATACAGTGTAAAGCAAAACCACGACATCCATGCATAAGTGTCTATGACTTCTGTGACAAACGTTTCCATTACTCATTGCTGTGTTCTCCGTTCCTATATGATTCCAAATGTCATTTCGTATTAGTTCAGGTGCTTTTTTTAATAACTTCCGTGCTTTTTGAATCCTACAAACCGAAGAGATTGAACTTTGGTTTTTATTCTAATCAACTCGAGAATGGTATATATAAACAACTGCAACACATCGAGTTGAACTTCAACATTTATTATATAGGCCGGTATGCTTATTGAACAAGGGACATGTTTTATTGTATGAACTACTTGTTGTTCTATTTCACTCTTTACTTTGGAATGTGAAGCACTATGTGTTGTATGGACATATTAATATTAATCGACTATACTAAAATAACAGATGGCATATATTAGGAATAATAATATTGTGTTGCGTACGTCATCATAGTCATCATACATAATTTCATTTTGTGATATCTCCAAGTGTCTCTAGTGGTTCGCGAGTGATGGCAACGAGATTGAAGAACTCCAAAGATTACTGGACATCCTTCCTAGCTCCTTAAGATTGAGGGGAGTGTTTCTCCTTTGACCTATCAGATTTTGGTATTGTTTCCACGAGGGGATATATCCATCTAGGAGTAGGAAATTGGTCAAATTTTCTGAAGTTTAACTTCTCAAAAAATCTATATGCGCTACATAATGAAACAGACGGAGTATTCCAACGTATATATAGTTAACTTCCATATCTTGACCTTCGGCTGAATTTGGAAAGAACATTAATATCATCATAAGTTCTAAGAAGGCCAAAGAAGGAATGCCAAATCCAAAAGAACTCATGAAGGAATAAATTTACAGCAATGATAAATCCCGAACGTTCGAATTTTAAGCATGGCAACCTTAGTTCACGTGAGGTTGACAAACATTGCAATTTTTTGACAAAAAAACAAACTGAAACAAAGTTGCCATGTCTTATCTATATTAAAGTTGCCACTCGCGTCAACTAAAGTTGACGTGTAAAAACGTTCGGGATGAAATGCCTAAAATCCAAACGTTTGGATTTTATCGGGGTCCTAAATTTAAGAATGATTGTTGGCTTGAACCTAGGCCTAGGAAACCAAGCACATTCACAGGGCAAGTGGGGAAGGAGATCTGTAAGGAGACAGAGGCACAAATGCACAGCAGCACAGGATTCATGTCCACAATGAAAAAAAAACAAGATTCATCAGTACCCAAATGTCACTTGTCTAAAATTTATTGACTGATTGGACATAACAAATTGTTAACGCTATAAATCCAGTGCCCAGAGTGCACAGCAGCACAGGCATCGATCAAATGTTTCTTGATCCCAAGCATTCCGAGAAAATTAGAAATGTAAAGAAGAAAACTGAATTTCAAATCTTGCGTTCTGCCGACTCGGACTGATCGACTGCACACTGATCGGCTTCTGTCAATCATCAAATCAATCCGGCATGGCAGAACGCGGCTGTAACGAAGAATCATCGTCATCCCTAGGTGCGGCAAATCTGGAGAGGGGCGACGACGTCCGCCATCTCCTCGCACGCCGCGGCGCCGACCTGGATGAGGTCAGGCACGCCCTTGCTCATCAGCAGCCTCCTCCGGCATTCCTCTGCGGCGTCCATGCCTGACGAGTACGCGCCGTGCACAGCCCCCGAGTGCTCCGCGCTGGCCGCCTCTCCGGCGAAGTACAGCACGCTCTCCACCGGCGCCGAGAACCTCTCGCACACGTCCGACGGCTTGCCCACCAGGTCGCACGAGTAGGACCCCAAAGAGTTCGGGTCCGAGCCCCACCGCGACACCAGGTACTGAGTCTGCAAAATCCAACATTTGATCATCAGGTCACAATCGCCATCATCGGAATTCAGAAGTTATACATAGTGGTGGCAAGAACATACGGGTTCAGTGGCGTCGGGTATCATCTTCCTCAGGTGACACATGACGAGTTCCACCGCCTCCTTGTCTGAGAGCTTCTCCACATCCTGGGCGAACCGACCGGCGGCCATGAAGACCAGCACCGGGTGGCCGGTGGCCTTGTGGAGGTTCAGGAAGTAGCCGCACGTCTTGGGCGTCGGGCCGACCATGCCCAGCACCTGCACATTCGGCCAGAAGGCCTTGTCGAAGTGCATGGCGACCTTGTTTTCTATGCCGACGCCAAGGTCGGCGATGGCCGAGCTCTTCCAGGATGGCAGCTCTGGCTCGAACTTGATTATGTTCGCCTTCAGCACACCGAGCGGCACAGTGATTATGCAGGCGTCGGCCGAGTATTGCGTGCCGTCCTCGATGGTGACCGTCACTCCCTTGTGCTGGCGTGTAATTTTCTTCACTCTGAATAAATATATAGCAGTAGCAAAGGTAAGTAAATGTATCTACCAACTGCAATTAGCAGGTGTACTTAGAAGAAAATGATGATTTGACTCTGAGGCAGAACACATGGCAGTTTCAAGACGACTTGATTTCACTCAGGTAACATGTTTAACTAATAAATTTTCAAATGTACTTGGGCACCAACATGACAGGATAGTTCAATAAAAACATGTGTGATAGACATACTGAGATTATTCAGTGTGCGGCAATATCTATGTCGGGGAAGAAGATAATAATACACACCTCTGATTCAGACGGATGTCAAGACCTTGAGCGAGAGCCTGAATTACTGGAAAGTATCCATCAACCATCAGGCCATGGCCACCAGTGAGAACATGTTCCTGATCCCAGTTCTTCAGAGATATTTCATCTGCATCTGCAGCAAACCATGCCTCCAGCCGGCAGACGCACCATTGCAGGATCCGATCATCTAGCCCTTCTAGCCTATAAATTCGCAACAATATCAGTCGAGCTCTTGTGCAGCAACCATCCAATTTATAAACTGTATCTTGGATAAATTATCACATGTCAGCATGATACAAGATTTTATACGTACTTGAGATCAGGGTGCCTCTCAAGAACCATTGAAATTGCCTGTTCAAGGGGCATGTCATGTTCCTGCTCGTCGCGGAGTTTCACCGTCTCCTTGAGAATTTTCTCAAATATCACGCCAACTTTAGCAGCCGTCTCCATTGGGACTGCAACGCCGTTCTTATCAAAGAGCGAACAGCTGCAAAGGAACCAATTACCACAATGAGATGTAAGAACATGAAAAAATAATACAAGTATATTGATTATACGACAGAAAAATGCATGTTCAAGTGCTGAAATCACCTTTCCAAATCGTGATCATACAGAACAGAGTTGTCGCCACTAGTGTGGTATAATCTCAGCCCAAGATGGCCTATCAGTGGTGCTAAAGAATTCTCATTGCTGACACCGTGCAACCTGATAAAAATTCAGCAACACCAGGGCGAAGTCAGTAAAGATTATACAGATAAAATCTACCAAGGATTGCTCCAACCAATCGATTTAAGCGAAACTAACCATGAGGCTCCCATGTCAATGGGGCATCCAAAGGAGTAATCCGTATGAACACGGCCACCGATTCGATCTCTCGACTCAAGGACAGTCACCTGCTCAGGAAGAAAAGGCGTCAGTTAACGCTAACACTCTTACAGATTCATCAAATTGGAGGAGACAGAGATGAATAGATCGGGAATCTATCGGTACCTCGAAAGAGGAATTGGAGAGGACACGAGCCGCGGCGATCCCTGAGATTCCGCCGCCGATCACGATCACAGATGGAGGCGAAGCGCAGCGCCTCTCGATGGTTGGAAGCAGAAGGCCTGCAACACATCAATGCACAGGAATCAGTAATTAATGGCCGGAATTGTTCCTAATCAGAGCGGGAATCAAATCGGGGATGAAATATGTTATGAGCTTGGCAACAAAATTGAAATTTTGTACTCAATTGTGATCGCAATTGAGCGATTAGATCCAAAAATCCTGTTCTGGCTCCCTTCCCGTGCAAGATCTAGCGGAAAACGATGAAATTGCAGAACAGAATAATCACCGTACCTCCGGTTTTGAAGCTGTTGGGATCCATGGCCGCCGTCGCGACCGTCAACCGGCGAGAAGAAGAAGAAGATTCAGACGGAGCAGCAGCAGAAGAAGAGGACCCCTCCGTCCGCGCGAACGCAACCGCGAGCACGAGCGGCGTACGTTTGTTTACAAGAGAAGATTGCTGATGCTACTAGTAATAATACTGGAATTACTACTAGTACGATTGGTATTCAGACTACGTATGGGAATCGAGATGAAGAACATGAAGACGAGGAGGCCGTCCTGGAGGCGGCTGGCGTCGGCGGCGGAGCGGCGGAACGTGAGGCAGCTCATCACTGGCTCCAAACC